TATAACGCGATGAACAGTCCCACGCAACAAGATAAATTTAACATTTCGACATATTTCTCACATTCTGACTTTTTATTCAACGTTTCTCCATCTCATCGAAGACATTAACGCGTCTTTTGTACAAACAACTTCATTCGAATCTAATAAGGATGCGTCAGACATTATAACGCGTATTTTGTTTTCATAAAATACGAGCATACGTGTCTAACTTTCTTAATTGCAGAAGAAAAATATCTAATTGTTGCAATAGAGTTTAGATTCGTTGCACTGGCGAATGAAAGTGTTAGTCAAGAAGATTGATAAATTTATGTGACTGCTCTGTATTCTATTAATTACAATGACGAACAAAAATATTGAACAAGGAAATCAATAAATTCAAGTGATTACTACATTTTCTGAATTACGATAATAAATAATGGTATTGGCCAAGAAAAATGCATATCTAATTTGCGATTTTTTAATTGATGACAAGTAAAATTGCAATGACGAATAAACTTGAGCGACTGTTACATTTTTTTAATTACAAATGATGAATTGAAGTATTCAAAAAGAATAAATAATTGTTATATTTCTTTAATTGCAGATGTACAAAAGTATTGATATAATTTAATGCTCCTTACGAAGTCTTATACAAATTTGTTGGAAATTTGCAATTTGTCATTTGATTAATATTGATGTTAATATTACATTGCAATATTTATTTAATTAATATTATATTAATATTTAATTACTATTAGACGTAGGGATTGGAATAACTTTGAATAACTGTTGCAAAGAACTTTCATGCGTTTAAGAGAATTGTTGAAACGTTATTTCTTAAACGTAGAAATTTTTACGATTAAACGCGATCATCTTCTTTTTTTTTTTAATGAGCATAGATTCGATCCTGATAGTGCAAAAGTTAGTACCACCAGACGCAAAACCTCATCGCGGAAAAATGCTCGAGGAAAGAGTAAGAGCAGAATTATCAAAAGAACAACGAAGACGCAGCAACGATCGAGCACGAAGAACAAAAATCGTAACCAAAAGCGACCGGTACCGCAGCCAAATCTACCAAAATCGTGGACACCGAGCAAGAGAAACTTGACTGACGAGCCATTGTCGAAAGTGAAGAAAGTTTGATTTTTATGATTATGAACATTTCTCTCGTAGGTGTGTGTCTTACCAAAATATTTTCCATGTATATTTTCTTAGCAAATTTGTACTCTGACTTTTTTCTACGATTCTTCCACTTTAGAGATCGTAATTTGTAATTGAAGTTTTGAATATGATTGTATTTGATATTTTTTTTTTCTATAATTGGAAATTGTATTTCTGAATTGTAATAAAATTGCCGTAATCTGATATTGTCCCTTACAATTCTTAATTTCAGAATTTAGTCACATTTGCAATCGATTTAGTCACATTTCCTAAATGAAATTGCTACGATTTGTTATTGTTTTTCGTCGAAAGTGAAAAGAACTTAATGCTTCTCTTACAGTTTTATCTTATAAGAATATTTTATTATTATTTGATCATTTGATTTAGTCACTTGTGAATCTTTGAGTTTAATTCTATTTGATAATCGACTATTTTATAATCGAATATCGTGCTTTTAAATTGCTATAAAATTTCTGTAAATAATTAATTATTTAGACAATTATTTAAAATAATTGTCTAATCGTTACTGTAGAATTATAATTGTAACAAATTTATCTTATCTGAACAATGATCGTTTAAAAATAATTCTCACAAAGTATCATTCATTTATCCGAATTCTAATTCCTACGAATTTTTACTTCGAAAGCAATATTGACATAACTTTATTAAATCCCTGAATCTGCCGAACTACTATACTTTAACTGTACATCACGATTATTTATGTTCTCCAATTAGAATTATTAAAAGCACATAAAAAAGAAAGAAAAAAAAAAAACGTGTGACTCGATCGTGTAAAGGGTTCTTCCGTGAGAACCGGAAGTGGATGCTCCGCGCGTTTCGCGCGGTGACACGTGTCGAGAGACAGAGCGAGTGTCTGTTCCATTGAAAAATCGAAACGAAACGTGAAACACCTGCGGCACGCGTTTCTTTCTGGCTAGGGCGTATATTAAAGGGGCCTCGTTGTCACGAGGAAAACGAAGGAACAAAGATTCCTAGACGAGAGATGTTTCTCCCTAAAGAGTGGGCAAAGGTCTTCTAAATAGTGCCTGATTGTCGAACAATGAAATTTCGAAAGAGTTCGAATAAGAGAGATGATGCTCTCTCGGCTACATTTAGTATATCTTTTTCTAGATTCTTCGTAGATAATAAGCCAGACGTTATTCAAATGTGTTTCTAGAATTTGTGTATTTTTGTTTTCCTTTTTCTCTTTTTGCAGTTTTATTTTATTTAATTAAAACCGGTGGTCAGTTGTATTAGAAAAATAGAATACCTTTTTAGAATACTTAGATTTTTTAAAAATTAGATTAGTTCACGACTGTATTTGCAGTTGTATTATGGTGCTTATATCGTTGTATAATTATGAATATTTTCTATGGTTTTTCTTATTTCTTACGTATAGCGTACAACTTTTTCATTAGATCCTAATATCGATACATAGTAACTATTTTCAAAACTTTTCTGTTAGGAATCTAGATGTTGAAATACCTGTTATTTTTTTCAAAGTAGAATTTTTATCAAACTGATCTACTCAATCCGAGAAATTTATTGAAACACACCTTCATTTAAATTATTCAAAAAGTAATCAGTATATCAAATTGTAAGTTGCAAGATAAAGTTGATATTTGCACTCGTGCGTTTAATCTTAAAAATTGCGTTAGACTTTTAAAAATTAACACACGTGAATCTATCTATACTTGCTCTTCTGGTTTTCAATGAACTGGCCGATAAAACTCACTTTGAAAAACTGCAACTACCTTTAAGAATTCGTCTCTTTTTCCCCGATTAACTACAAAATCTGCGATTCCAGTGCAGTTAAATTATGAATAGCTGACAGATTGTTCGAACCTATCCTAATCGAACATATGGTGGTCATCCGCAGTTTTACAGGCACACCTCGTCACCCTATGGGTATTGACCCTCGACAGGAATCGATCTATTAGTTCGTACGCAATCTTTGGACAAAAGACCAGCTAGTCGACTATTATTGTACTCCACTTATTATTGTGCTCTAACAATCTCCACTTCTATAATAAATTCTACAAATGAACCCTGGAATACTAATTCAAGGATTAACTTACGTATACGTGGATTAATTAAATTTATAAATAAGAAAACAAAACGAAATGTTCTCGAGGGTAATAAGAGAGTGTCATTTGTTATTTGTGGAGAAGCAAACAAATGTCTATTCTAGCGCCTTTAACACAACTCAATTTGTAAATCGAAAAGATATTCATAGTTTTAAGCAAAAAAATTTTGAGAACAATTTCAACATTGTAATTGATACATAGATAAAAATCAGATTGAAACGCTATGTTGTTGAGTTTTTGGGATGAACATAATATGGTCCAATCTAGGAAACTGATTTTCCAACACAAGTATTTTAAATAATATTTGATCATATTTATTTTTCACTATTTTAGAGACGAATTGTTATTCAAAAATCAGTATTTACATGGTATAAAAAAATGGAAAAAAGAAACTCTGAGAAACATTGTAGAAAGTACTAAAAAAAAATCTAAACGTGTATTTAAATGGTAATAATCTAAAGAAACTCTATCAAACTCTATCTAAATTCTATCTAAAAATTCTAACGATTAAGGAGTTTGATATTTATTCCCTTTCTAATATTTCAAGATTTCAGTTCAAAAATATGTAGGTAGTTTTTCTTAGCGATCGTGCTGCAAATTTTGCCGAAGGAAACTTCACATATTCTCTCAGTATCAAAGTTTCCAACAAAAAGGACCGAAAGAAACGGTCCGAAACGGGAACGCAAGATCTAAGGTCGATCAAAATCCGTTCCCATGAAATTCACTATCCGTCGCCAGAATCCAGATCCTGTTAGGTGAAACTGCAGGTTCAAACGTAGGGACTGATTCGTGAACTTGTAATCTTTCCACTAAAATGATCGAAAATAGATAGAATCCCTAACGTTCCAGACTTCCACTGACCGTTCATCGATTGGACACGGCCATTACGTTTCGTCGATCCCTCAAAGGTTCGGCCTCGAAGACTGACCGAACATTTTCCAGCGAGTTTCCATCAGAAGGATCGCCTAGTGAAATTATTGCGCAAAATCCAGCCGGATATACCGTGAAAAGCGCGTGGAATCGGCCGAACGAATCGTTTGAAACAGATCTTCCAAGTTGGAAGCACCTGTTTATCGACTAAGCAACGATTAGAATGAATTTGAAGACCGTGTTCCCAGGTTTCGGGGTTGCAAGGTGTTGCAATTATTAATATTTGATATCGACTAAGAAATAATTGAAATTGAAGAAAGACCTGATCTTAAATTGGATTATAATTGAAATTATGATCGTAGTTTTCATTCTCATATAAATTAACTCATTAAGGACCAATATTGTGTTTGATCTAGCGTTTCATTTACAAATCTTTTCAATCAGTTTCTATTATCAAATTTCATTTTTTTAATATTGCGGCCATGAAAGAAAATTCCAAGAATCTGTTTTATCTTTCATCTTTCACCAGTAGATATTTTATAATTCTACGAAATTTAGAGATTTTGATTATCGCACATGTGATTAAAGTACACGTGTAATTGAAAAGTTATTTTGTGACCGAAAAAGGAAATAAATTTACTTAATTTTAATCTTTATTTTCAAGCCGAAGTATAACTACTCCCAACATATTTGTAACTAAATTCATGACAGCTATGTTCTAGTAAACAATCTGAGCGTACATCTGAGATCTCACAGTTTACTTGCACGACTTGATTTCGATGATAGCAGAAGAATCTCACCCTTGATCCTGTTGAACGAAACGATTTCGCGAAAACAAAAGGGGGAGAGCCGGTGGTACAAAGAGTTGGTCGATCGTAAACGTCGATAATCGGCTCGATATAGAACGATCCCATACGTGTCGTTGGGGCTCGTGCGAGGCTAAGTGTGCTTCGGGGGTTGGCCAACACAAAGACTGAGCTCGCGTCGTCTCGTGTCGAGCTAATTAGGAGGTTTATTGTTACGAAAGTAGGGCCGTATTTATTGGCGTCAAGCGTGATATATTACCGTCTCCTTGCTCTCCTCCATTCGTTTCCAGTTTTAATCGTGCCTCATTAGTAGAACGTAAACGCGCAATAGCTATGGCAAACGTTTGATGTGACTCGAAAATGAGGACGAGGGATTGATCCAACGATTCGTGCACAGATTTCGTAAATTTGGACACGTTGCGGATTATTTGAACGGTTTTCTTTGAGTTGCTTGAATTAGGTGTTTGACTCTCGTTGAAATTTATTCTAACGAATTCTAAAAATTCAATCCTTTGAGATCCGTAATTATTTTCAATTATATTCTTTGGTTATTTACTTCTTTATTTTCATTGTTATTTTTTGTCAAAATAGATCCATTTATTTTTCGTGTTTATTTGTCCAAACAGACTGGACGTTGGAGCTATTAGGATAAAGTTCAATCACACATTAGACAATAAAGAATTAATACTGAGGAGATTGAGGAGCGTAAAACAAATAAAACAAGCATTCCTCTTTGAACTTTCACTAAGCAAATTAATTATTTTAAGCATTCTAGATCATTTGTGCGATATTCTAGTAACGGACTAAGCATTCAGAGGATTTGACATGATACGCAAAAAGAATTTTATGTTGTTTAAAGCAATGTAGTGGAATGTAGTTCATTGAAATTATCCTTAATAAGTTTTATATTTCTTATCAATTAGAAATTTCAAAGTGTGAAATTATATACTTCCACGATCCACTGTATCTCCGAAATATCTTGCAACAACATAAATCTATCCAGCAGTCTTCAAAATCTCGTAATGCAATCAGCAATTCAGAAACCATGAGAACAGTAAATTCGACGAAGAGATTCTGCCCAGAGAGGTCACCAAGAGACCGAGAACGATGACGAGAAAACGATGTTGTTTCACAAGGAACAGGTACCGGAACGAGGACAGCGTTACCGCAAGTTGCCACAGACGTTGGAATTTCACGGTGAGGAACGTGAAATGGATAA